TTGTATAATCAATCAAGACTGATTTCAATTTTCTCTTCACAAAGTGGAAGACTTCAAACAGCATGTTCCAGCCAGCTTCCCTCTCTTTCCTCATAAACAAGATTAAAAACAGCTGTCTGCTGTCAGCTTTCCTGCAAGGAGATCTGCTTATTTCAGTGAATCTACTGTTTTGTGGTTGCTTTCTTGCAACAAAATTATTCTGCTAAATACTTGTTAAAAAGGGGTCCATGATGACGGCATTAGAAGAAAGATTAAGCTGGTCGACTGCCTTATATAATATGGTTAAAAATATGGTAAAAGTATGGGAAAACAACTTGAAGAGAAAACCATCCTGCAATAGCCAGTACTTTTATATGAAACAGCTTGTAAGGTAGGTTGCTTTTTTTCCCCAAAGAAAAGAAATACAAACTTCAAAAGTTCCTTTCTCAGTCTGTTTCATTTATGTGACATACGAAAAAGTGAAAAAAAATGCAGAAAATGTGACTGACAAAACACCAGAGAGGTTCTGACATGTCACCCCTTTGCAGACCTGGTGCTATTACTGTTTATTTGCTTAAAGTATATTCATTCTTGGTAATAAAAATCAAACAAGCTGGCACCTTTATATCATCTTAAAACTTAACCTCTTCAACAAAGGAAAGTAGTAAACTTAATGCTTAAAGCATTTAACAAAAGCTGGAGATCTGCTTTTGTAGCCTTAAACCTTTGTATAAATGTGCAAGGTATTTTACCTAGGTGTGCTTTGTCTTCCTATCAGGAGAGCAGGGATGTATCATACTTACTAATCTAAAATGTTTTCTGTACTTACTTGGCTGTTTTTTTTATTAAAAACATGAACTAGCTTCATTGGAAGGACATTCATCCCACCACCTTTAAGGGCAGAGAGTCCTAGAGTTACTGAACTGCCTTTGAAGTTGATAAACCAAAGAAAGCAACTGTGAAGAGAATAAGAAAAAAATGGTATATGCATGAATCCATAAGTATTGGTTCTTAATTCTTACCAAAGAATGATATAGGAAGGCAAATGAGCAAAGTATATTATTATTATTATTTTTAATCTGGAATAGAATACCAGCCAGGAAAGGGCTAGGGGTATATAGACAAAAAAAAAAAAAAAAAAGGGCAACAAAAGAGTTAGGTACAACATTAATTCTCTCTTTTGGTGTAATCTTTGCTTCTTGTTTAAATACATACTCTGTTGAAATAGGAAGTCATTAAACACCTTATGAAATAGTGTTTACCTTTTTGTAACTTCCTACAAGCTTTTCTTAGCATAATTTTTGGACCACCAAGAAGAATGAACTGTGTACCAAGTTCTGTTTGATCTGTCTTATTTAGGAATTTATTTCGTACACTTCGCAGTGGATCTCAGCATTTCTATTTGTGTATCAAGAAGGCTTTATTTTTTACTTCAAATACAAATCAGCCCTGATTCCCGTGTTGCCCACAGAAGTTTCAAGCCCACAGAAGCAGCATAAATGAGTAAAGGATAAAATCTAGGAATTAACTATTCTCTAACATTAGCAGCAACCAGAACTTTCTCTTCTTTTGCCTTCTCTGTTAATAGCTTTTCCCTTTGCTCCCATGCTTGTCTAAAAGACTCAATAATTCAGAAAGAGTGGGCTACAGATCCAACATTTCCTCACCATCGTTTGATAAAAAATAAATAGAAGCAATAAGAATTCTTGAAATTCAGAAATAAAAAGTTTAATTAGCATACAGGCATAACACCCTGCCTGATATGCCTTACAAGCAATACAAAGCAATAACCTCAGGTCAAAAGATAAGTTACAACACATGCAAAAAACATCTGGAAGTGCACTAGAGCAATGAGTTAGATATAAGTACATCTCTCGAATAAACGCACATCTGTTCACCTAAAGAATAAAATTTTGAAGACTATTACAGAAGTACAACAAAACAGTCATAGGTGAGCAGCATGTTGACATGAAACATCATACAGAGACATTTGACCTTTGGAAGCAAAACCTGCGACAGGCAACTAGTTCAGAGCAAAATCCCCAAGTCTTTACTTATGGAAAGCTTTCCATAAGTAAACTTTATGGAAAGTGAAGCCCGAGGTATTATCAAAAAGAGGACTGAAGAATTTGGCCTTTAACAACAATTTTGACTAGATTTAAATGTCTCTATCAGTAAGATTTTTAAATCACAAATCTATGTTTAATGTGGTTGATGGCAGTGAAAGAAGGAAAGACTGAATATCCATATAAATCAAAATTTTTTTTTTTTTTTTAAAAAAAACCCTTAGGAAAGAAAAACTTAACAAAATTAACATGTCCTGAAATCAAAACCAACGTGATCGAAGTTAATAAATACCTTCATTTAAAGAGTTAGGTTCCTTTTTATCCTAAAACTCAACGAGCAATATTAAGAAGTTGGAAAACAGAGAGGACATCATAGGTGTTTTTCTTACTTTTCACTGATCCGCAGAATAACTCACTATTGACCTGCGTGTTTCCATGTTACAGGACTGGCTGACAGAAAGGGGCACAAGACTTACTGCAACTGTAACTTCAAGAGTTTTATTTTCTTCCCTTTTGTGACTAGTCATGGGCTTGGACCACTCATCGATGGACAGCCACAGCCAACACCGTTGAGATTCATCAGGGCTGAGGAGTCTAATAAGGGTGAGACGGTGTGAAGGCAACTCTGATCCCGTTATTAGCATGTCCAGTGATGTCCCAAACAGATTAATACGACAGTCACCACGCAGCAAACCACGCAGGTGAGTGTGGCCACAGCATTTTGTTGTTGTCATCGTTCCGATCACGAGGTATCTAGTTACACTGGCAATTCTAACACAAATTCTGCACAGAGTCAATGTAACTTTTGGCATAAAAACAGGTATGCTTTCCCTGAAGGGCTGAACCACCACACTGTCTACTGTTTTAAATAGAAATATACAGCACATTTGAAAAAAAACAATCATCATCTTTAGTCTTTCCACCTCTCCATCAGTAACACAGTAGCAAGAGCCCAGCATTACCCCTACAACCCTTACAAGGGTTAACTAATGCACTGAATGTTTTGAAACTCTGAAGAACCAGTATGCGCACACAAAGTACAAACCAACAAACTACCTATGTAATTAGTAAGATGAAGAACTGTATCCTGTAACCCTAAGAAATGCAAGGAAGTTTGGTAAAATGGGATACAGGAAGATAAAGCAGCAGTTAATAGCATACAACAGAGATGCCAGTTAAGACATTTACAGCTGTTCTACATTTTGTTGTTGTTGTTGTTAACAGCAAAACAATAAAACCAAGATAAGAACTCACTTTTTGGACCTTTTTTTTTCTCCATTTCTTCATGATCTTAATGCATTTTATGCATCTGACAGTTTTTGTACAGAAATTACACAGTAAGTTGGTTCTGTGATACAAATACACCATGCTTTCTCTTTAATCATGCACCAGGATGCGATCAGCTTCCTGGCATTTAACAATGAAAAGAACAAGCAAGTTTCTGAAAATTAAAAGCTCTCATAAATAATATTTGCCATATCCACTTCTGCAGTATTAATTAGTACTATTTAAAATGTTTCTGGAATTTCCTTTTTGGTTGCTGTCTGCTTTTTTAATTGAGGAATTTTCCAGTATCTGTGAAATTTACCCATGCATTTATTTACAAACAGATAGTCCTTGTGATGAGGAACCTTAATGAAATTTACAATTGCTAAGGTGCATTTAAGAATGCTAGCATTTACACTTGGACAGAACAAATGGAATTTACTGTGCAACTCTTGGCTGGGCTAGCAATGTAATTAAAGTGCGAAGAAAGACAAAAACCACAAGCCAGGCAGATTCATTTTTCCTTGTTAGCACTAAGAAGCATCATGACTGTGGTAAGAAATGTCAGATCAAAGAGGCCCAGGTCACAATCTGTGTTAAACCCCTATCTCCCTGAGAGATTTAAGGGAGGTAAACAGTGATATAGCCCTATTTCTTCAGCTGGCTGATTATCATTGGAAAAGTAAGGTCACTTTTCCAGCCAAGTTATTCAACAGTGCTAATACCTGCATTTTATTTTACGATGTACTTTATAGCATGCATTTGAGCTCATTTTCCATGCAGCTACAACCCTTGATCAGGAAATTCTACGAAGTACTAACTAGCTCTAGAAATGAAATCTATATACCTGGTTTCTCACAAAAGCATAGGCTTTATAACAGTTACAAGCAGAACATTTTCTTAAGCATATGTTCCAATGCAAATGCTAATTACTAGTTCAAATAAAAATTTAAAGTTTGTGTTTGCACACATTCAAAGTTTGTCCTGGTGTACGACAGCTGAGGCAGTGCTGAATGACTGAGCAAAACCCAGACATTTTCTAAACCATTAATTTCATGTAAAATGAAACAGTCATCCTGACTCCTAGTGTTCATTGCTGATCACTACCCACTGCCAGACCAGAATTAATTTCCTCTCAACAGTGTGTCCAGAAAGTGCTTTGTAGCCTGACTTTTCAGGGAAGCTGCAGGTGCAGGAAATTAAAGTGCCTTTTCCAGGGCTGTGTGCAACATGAGTAACCATCCCATTCACTTTACATTCAGATTCCTTGAGTATGAGAAACAGCTCCTTATGTCGTTATTTCCCATCTGAAGCTTGCAAGGTTGGTAACTATTTACAACTATTCAACTATGGTTCACTTACTTTCCATGCTGTAAATATTCTCATTGCATATTAATGAAAAGTATTTACAAAGATTAGTTCATTTATCTGTGAAATCTGTTATCTTAGAAAAGGTAACATTTTATAAAGGGAAGCATAAACTATATAACAAATGCTTTGATTATAGATCTGAAGTTACCCTGGTGCCTCTCCAGGCTAACAGATGACTCAAGATCCTATTTTTTTTCAGAATTATAACATGATATGAGGACACCACTACCACTACTGCCTCAGTGAATGCACAATTAGCAATCAACTCAAATCTCATCAGTGCTACCTCATTTTGCCCATTCATCTTAACAGAACTGAATATGGTACTACCTTTTACATCTATCCCCTTAATTGGTCCCATTAAGATGACTACAGTGAGTACCTGTGCACATGAAAGCCTCCTGTTTTCAATTAGATGCTTACTCCCTATTGCAAATCATTATCACTGCAAAGCAGTAATCATTTAACCCAGACGTGAAGCATCTTTATCTTCCACCTCCCAGAGCTGTTTTTCCTTGCCTGAGAGGGTAATGCTGTGAGGCTCTGTGTCTCTCACTGGAAAAGAGAGCTTGCATTCTTCTCAATTTTTCCCTTGATGTCTTTAGGTCTTGGCATGCATAACTTTGTTCATTATTCTAAAGCCTTCTGTAGACTCTGAGGCAAAGCTGGTTCTTCAGGCGGGGAGTCGGGGTTCAATCTTTAGGGAGAGTTCATACAGAGTATCTTCATCTATGATGAGTGTCTTGTCAAGTAAATAGTGAGTGACCTGCAGCGCATAAAACACAGCTGAATGGACAGTATACTATTTTCAAGTAAATTGCTTAGCTTTCCTGTCTCCCCTCTCAGCCCATTGCAGAGGATGTTTGAGATCCTCTCAAGTTGTGTTTTCTCAGAAAAACAGAAAAAGCTCATTTGAATGATGTAAAAATGAATTCCAGTAGTGTCCTAGGAACCAAATAAAGTCCCTCAGGCAAGGGCAAAACCTTAGCTAAGTTACCTAGGCCCATGTTGCTCTTCTAGACCCCAGAATGAAAAGATTTTTTTTCTTTCAAGGTACAAATTCCCACAACTCCCATAAAGGATAAGGGGAAAAGACTTGCAGGATGCACACAGCATCAGCTGAGGCTTGAGCCATCTCCTCTCCCCTAATCCCAGTATTTGGCGTCTCCTGTGGAACTATGCTCCAACCTCAGCAGGGAGTGCACATTTCCCATGGGACTCAATCCCTTATAGACCACAGTCACATTGGTTCAAATTCCAAGAGAGCTTCCAGAGAAGGGAAAAAAATGCTTCTACATACTGCACTGAGAAAACAATTTCTACCATCAGGCTCTTATAATACAAAAGTGTGTGAGCACATTTCAGTCTGCCCTCTCTGTCTCTGTGCAGAATGCATTATTTTTCAGTTCTAATAATGGCTGCACCTAGGTGCATCTTGCACCTAATTTTGCTGCAGCAGCTTTCATTTCAGTAATACGAAACAGATTGCAAGAAGAGCCTTACCTTCTGCTGATACTCTATGCGGTAGGAGGTCTGCTGGAACTGGCGTATTTCCCTGATAATATGCGAGATCTATCAAAAGAATGAATGCACTTAAGTAAGTACCAATGCATTTTGAGTTCAATTAGACCACGTAAGCCAAGAATTTTGCACCAAATTATGCAATGTTTCCTGGGATGAAGGAAGGGACAGGAACCGATTATCTCCTAACTGCTTCAAATGGTTTCACTTTCCTAAAGTGGCCTCAACTGAGGCAATCTCAAGCAGGCGCTCTCCTGTCTTTCTCCTCAAAGCCACTTTTCTCTTTTCCTTGAGTGACTGTTTCAATGTGTAGTCTTGAGAAAGAACTTTAGACCAAGATAAGCAGCTTCCATGCTTCTCTCTATTAAGAGTTGTACAACATTATATTTGAAGAAAATCATCTTTAAAATGCTTTTTTACATAGTACCTAATACAACTGAAAAAGACTGTCAGTACTGTCTCGTGAATCATTCCTTGAATTTTCATTCTCAATAAAACTCTTGTTGCTCCTTCACGAGCCTAGGGCAGTTGCTTTTAGTCTCCGTGACTTTTCAAAAAACTGAATGCAAAATTCGCACTTTAAAATTCCCCAGCTTACCAGTAGGTGGTGATAGAAGAATGGGTTCAAGTAATTGCTTTCGAATAACTGTGTATCTTGTATGATGCAAATGTATTTGCAAGTCTTAGAAGATAAATTCAAAACAATTGTAATTAAATCAGTCACTAAGTCATGTAATTAAGCACCTGTGCGGAAAGCATGTAAAAAAAATGAAAACTACCATTCTCATTTTGGAAAAATTGACAAGGCCTTCTTCAGTGAAGTTTGGTGTTCCTTCTTCAATAAATGCTAGATCTGTCAAGTACATTCCAAGGTAAGGAACTGCAGGTGGGTTACAACTGTAGGACAAGAAATTGGCATATGTGACTATGACTAAATTTACAAACTAGTATTTCTATAGCTCTCATATCCTCTTTATTATTAAAGTAGTTTTATCCTTTTTTTTTTTTTTTTAGAAAGTTTTGATCTAATGCATGGATATTCTTAAATTCTATATTTTTTATTTGGAACAATAATTCTACAGAATCATTAAACTGAACTCTCAAGATGTTTTTGAATATAAACTGTTAGCTATAAACCTGGCCCTACATTTACTAAGTTTATCTGTGTAAGTAAAACCCCCAACTGGAAATATTTCACACGGAATAATAGTTTAATTTGTTTCAGTAATTCTCCAGAATTACACTTATTTGTCAGAGGTACTAAATCACAGGTTATTCAGCAAAACAGCAACCACAAATAGAATAAGACTAGACCATAAAAATTATTGAGTAATATTATCTAAGATTATATTAGTTACTAAAGCTTACTCAAAGCCAACTCATCTTAAACATGTACTAGTTCATAACACAACACAATTGTATTATGTACGGAAGCATACTTTTTCAGTGTTTCTCTAAGATTTTTAAATCTTCCTTCAGAGGATACAGTCTTCTGAAGCTTGTCCATGAGAGCTTTTGTCTAGTAAGAGAGCATATTACAAATGTCATTGCTATTGCACCTGAATGGTTGGGATTACATACTTTAAAAGATGTAATTCGCTTAGCACCAGCTATAAAACACCTGAGGATAAGCTGACTAGAGAATGCAGTGCCTCAGAATGTATTCTGAGCTGATTTCATTTCTCTAAGCACCTTGCAAACACTGAAGCTGCAGGAAGAGCCAGAGAGGAAATGAAGTGATAGAAGCCCACGTTCCTGCTGCTCTAAAAGCGATACACTGACATCTTCCAATCGGCCACAGTGACTACTACAGTAATGTAGTCACTGCCTACATTACAAGTGACTGGTTCTGTCCTACTGGCCCCATTGCTCTATTATCCTAACCTTACTAAAATATTCATATATTTTTAAATGATAGCTGAAATTTGTATCTTTTAAACAGTTCCTTCATAACCGTTTCAAACACAGAACATAAACGATTGGATAGTCTTCAACTATGCAAACAGGATTTTTTGTTGTTGTTGTTGTTGGAAACCCTCCCGGCAGCCTCAACCATGCTGCTGACAGCCTCAGGTGCAAGGCAAGGAATAAGAGGAGATATGCACTGCATTTAAACTCAGAACCTAAGTGAGAAGGAGGTCTGGCTATCTAAGGTTTCTTACTGGTCGACAAAGAACTCAGCACCGTGGGAGGAAGGGCTTATCTCCATACTGACTTGCTGCACAGAAAGGAGAATAAGGCTTCAAGCTCCTGTGGTGACGACAGTTAACAAAACCCACCACTACTTAAATGTTCTAAATGTATCTAATTAGTAACTTTTTTTTTTTCCTCAGATATTTTAATATTTTAAGCTCAGGCCTTAGTCTTAGATACTCCTCCTTTCACTCAATTCAGTTTGTTCTTGCTAATATTTAATTAATGATAAAGAAAAAATAGATAAATTTAATACAAAATACCTTGATGTGAAATGCCAGCAGCATTTGATGCTGTCAACAAATAGAGTATTTTCAAAGTAGAACTATTTATGGGAAGAATATGTATCTCAACACCTTTATCCCTGGACAACACGCTTATCAATGAAATCTACATCAGTAATCATCACATTTTTCTTACCTGTTTGGATACTTTTGCCCATGTTTTCTTCAGTCTGTAGATTGCACTTCTGTTCAAGGCTGATGTGATTTCTAACACACCATTATAATTGTGCATACACCTACAGATATCTGCTACTGCCACCCACTTCTCAATTGAGTTAGCCCGGGAGCTGACATCGGCATAATTCATAATTTGGGAGGCAACAAGGTTACTCATCTGGCCAAATAAAGAAGAAGTAGTGTATGATGTTTAAACATAAACACTTTCAAAACATCATTATTTAATGAACAAAGCGGAAAACAACACTAATAACACACAGCAGAATTTATGGCTTTTAATAAAACCAGAAAGAGTATGTTGAGAACAGTGTTGCAGGGCAGTGAGACAGAATTACGATATAAAAAGGGTATTCAGATTCACTGGGGAATGTCTCCAAGTCAACAGCACTAACACTGACTATAGAGTCTCTCAACAAAATCTAAGTAAAATGAGTAAAGAGCAAACAAAGGGCATTCATTAAACAAAATACACTTTATACATTTAGTCTCTGAAGAACTCAATTTCTTCTGTAAGCAGCAAGTCATTTTAATGCAGCTTGAAAGTTCTAGTCTATTAAATTGCCATTGAATTGATAAGCGGCAATTCATAAAATGAGAATCTTTATACACTTTGATTTAAAAGGTCAGTCACAAAAATGTTGTAACATTCAGGTACTACTAGGTAATAAATTGTATCACATTGTACAAAAAGACATTTACATTCCAGAGGTCATAGCAAGTGTCAAGAATGTCTAAAAGGCAATCTAGATTTCTGTGAGTACTTACATCATTAAAGTGTTGACTAGTTTTCATAATATATGGTGTTCTCTCATTTTTATCTAGTTTCATCCAGCCTTGACCAAGAAACTCTCTAAATATTGAGGGCAAACAAACAAAAATGTCACTAATAAGCACAGGACAAAGAGACTCTGTAACTGTGGCCTAAGTAGTTTTCAAGTAAACTTTCTTCTTTTAGAAACTAATAATAGAGTTATACACTAACTCCAAATTTTCACTCTACCATTACTAATGCTGTCCAAAGCAGTAAATGTTGTACAGAACTTTGCTGCATCCCTTTCCCCAGTTTCCCTGTCTTATTTTTCAGTGTTGTGACCTTATTTTAAATTGTTTCTGTCAGCTTACACAGTTATATTAATGGCAAACTTCTGTACAAATGAAGTTGATTTGACACTCCCTCTTCAGAGACCACTTCCCTACTATGTTCACCCATCACTAGCCCAGAGCCTTAGATCATGATTTTTTTTTTTTTTGGCAACTTTCTGAATGAACTCAGTCTTTCAAAACATGGCCAGATTATGAAGGATCACAAGCAATTAAAAAAGTAGCCGAAGGACATTATTGTGCTTTGTATGCAAACCATTTTGCCTGAACGTCAATAACATAAATTAGCATAGTGGCTAAAACTTCCAGTCAGTAACTCAACTAAAGTACTCACTTCAATCAATCGTAGGAGAACACTTACTCATAGGGTATGCTTCTGAAAACTATGTGATCTAAAAGAGTTATTTGCTCTGCAAGCTCCATGGCTGACAAAGTCTCAAAGCATTCTGGTTTTGGACATTCTGACTGCAAAAAATAGGAAGACTTAATGATATCTCTTAATATCAAAGAACATTTCAAAGTACAAGGTATTAAGAACTTCATATGCACTTTCAACACAGAATTGTAATTAACTTGTTTGTTGCAAAGGAATAAGAATTAAGGAGAAAGTCTGGAAATTTGCAGAAAAACATGCACGTAATTTATAATAAGTTATGAATACACATGTATATAAAGTTTTTGTATTCTACATTATCTACTACATAAACACCCTTTATGTAGTTCATTGTCCACCCTTCTTTGGATTACTCTAACTCACTTGAGGTGATGGGCCTTGTCAATGAAGAGCAACTATTGCTCTGATGGCTGCTTTACTGTGCAGGGATGGCAGACACTCTCTGACATAAAGATTCATGTCTTGCCGACTTTTTTCATTATGATTTAAAATCAAATTCTAAAATTTTGACTCATTCTTCTTTCATTCTTCGACATGGGCTCCAAATTCTTATTTTCTCTAAACTGAATGTGCATTGCTATTATAAAACAACAGTATTCCTGTATTTTCACAGTCACAAAGCTGCAGCTGTGGTACACCTTAGCGACATAAACATACCACAAATCTATAGAAATATTTACATATAAATTTAAAGATGAACTTACCATCTGAATGATATCCTCTATTTTTAAGTGGGTATCATCTTGATCATCCTGAGATAGGGCCCTGGGAAAAGAAGTGACAGAACATCCTGTATGAATAATATCAACGGTTATAAGAAAATCATCTCACAGTTTGGCAATCATGCTCATCTAAATTAAATTCTAAGATTTAATTTAAGTTGAAGAAGTAAGGAGAAAAGAGAACTTTTTTGCTAAAAACTGATTTGGATTTTTAAATAATAAGTATAAAATGATAATGTCAGTCATGTAAGCTAAAATACTGCTCTTGGAGGCTTAAAACAAGGCTCTAAGAACAGCATATACTGAAGAATGGTCAATGACAGTACAATGACAGCATTGCGTTAATTTGGTAATTACTGTCTTCTGATTACATGTTTCTGCATCTATCCATCTTTGACTCCAGTGATGAGCAATGTGTCGGACAAATGTAAATTCTCTTTTTAAGAACTAATCTGACACTACAAAAGCATAAAGATCATGATAATTAAAAATATTTGCTCTCTTAATGCAAAAAAATCCTAGAAAATCTACCAGGAAAAAAAAAAAAAAGTCCCGAAAGCTTTTCTCTAAGTTTTAAGCTCTGTATTATAAGATATCCCCGGGAAATATTTGGAGGGGGGAAAAAAAAAGGACATTTCATAAGACAAGAGAGCATAATAAGCATGGATAATAGAACACTTCTCTGGAAGCAGTCTTCTTTTTTTTATGGGCACTACATTATCTTGTTCTCTGTCCCACACAAACAGCACTGAGCGTGGAAACGGAAAACCAACTGCTAGCAGATTTCACTTGTAGCCAGCATATGCTTTGCTTTCAGTAATACAAGTGTTAATACATACTTTCAATTCTTCTGTAGTAAGCCTGTGATTATTAAGGTTATTTCAGAGTGCTATATCAAAAAGAAAACCCACCAGAAGTAATCAATATTCCACTAAATCCTATGCAGTCAGATGCAGAAACTTGGCACATAATTCCAAGACCTTACTTCCTCATTTTCCGCTTGCCATTTAACCTGCTCTGAAAGCTCTGAACGTTGAGCATTTAGCTTAGTGAGCCCTAAGTCCTGGGAGAGTCCTGTCCTAAAATATTTCTGGGAATTCACGTTATAATGTAATGCTGTAGGAAAAAAAGACTAGTGAGGTCTCAGGTTGCAATGCAAGTATAGTTTATGTAAACATAGAGGTAATCTATACCTCTGCTCCATTGACATTCCTAGGATTTCAGCTGGAGTGCTATGTCTGGTTGGAGCACCACAATATGACAAATACAAACTGGTCTGATTCCAAGTAAACAAGCAGCATAAAGGATTTGAAAAATACAGACTAGAAGAAAAGCTTGAATAGTTTGGATTTATGTAACAAAGAAAAGAGAAGATTTAGGGAGACATAACAGTAACGTAAAAGACTGGGTATAAAGAGAACACCAGTGACGGGGCAAGGAGTCACTGGACTGATTTGCATCAAGACAGACTTAGTTTATACATTAATTTAAACTATTAAACTGCAAAAAAAATGGGTATGCATTGAAGTAGGTTTTCTGCAGAAGTTGGGGAACACCCCTCGGTGGAATTTTCAAGGAAAAGTTCAGGTGATTGTTCTCAGAGGACACAGCTGTATTGATCCTGCCAGAAAGCAGAGCAGCTGCACTGAATATTTTATTGTGGTCATTTCAATTATTTATTTTTGTGCTCCGCAGAAACAGACTTTTCATGTACCAGCTGAGGAAAGGGTAAAAAAAAAAAAGAAAAAAAAGGGGGATTATATTGCCCGGGCACTTAAGCTGTGAATGTAAGGGATGGAGTTTGTGCTATGTGGGTGGGAAGGAAGTGTTAATACTTATTTCACTAGGTTGTTCTGTTGTGGGCTGTTGTTTCCTTTTGGTTTGCCAAATTGGAGATGGTCTAGGTTAAAACCAAACGCAGATACACAAAGAATCTAAGCCTCCTCCTTGCCTTCATTTTCAGCCTGTCAAATCCACACAAAAGGGCCTTTTCTTCACGGGAACTGGAAATATTTTATATCCAATAGGCATGCTGGGCAAAGTCTTCCATGTTTTTTTTTCTTCAGGAGAACCCTCAGTGTCTTCTCCAGAGAAGTGTGCTGCCTCAGTAACTGTAAATAGATTGGCAATCTGCCTTTCCTTAGCAGCTTACTTTGTGCTGGGTCTCATGACTGCCTGCCTGCAGAAAGATAATGCTCATCACACGATAAGAGCATGTGTTTTCCTGGCAATAAAAAAGAGAGAGTTTGCACTTCTCCCCCAAGTACCTCCAGTAATCTTGTAAACTTGTTTTTGAGTTCCCTATATGTACATAGGCTGGGGCTTTTATCTTAGATACAGAAAAGACTGTACCCGCTTAATACAGAATAAAATAGGAAAGACAAGATACTTAAAAGGCTCTAAGTACTTGACCTCTGCTTCCATTGCTTCCTGATGCTCTCTGTTTCCTAATACTTCTTCTTGCTCCCTGATACTATCATAATGGCATGTGTCTTATATTTCCTTAATTCATTTAGCATTTCTCACTGAAACAGGAATCCTGTGCTTTTCCTCTAACATAATAGTCTTATGAAAGAGTTTCTCTTTTTATCCATATATCTGAGTTTATATGTTCAGAGAGCAGTACACTTCTCTGAACTAGATAAAACTACTTTCTGACAGCATCAGTAGTAGCTTCCTCTTCAGTCTGCACTGTTGTTGGCCTTAGGGTACTGTTTCAATAGAAGACAAGGAAGATGCAGTCAGCTTCTCACTTCTGCTTGAGCAGTTCTCACTAGACTCCCTTAATGGCCTCCTGCAAGCTAGGAAAGAAGCTCAGATCCAAGTGAAAAGAGGGATGGGAGAAAGGAAACGGTAAGGAAACAGTTCACCTCACAGTGAGGACTGAATGGAGTACCACCTCTGGGATCAGCCTTACACATGAAGTGACTATATTTGAAATAACTTTCAAATTCTTAAGAGTTATCAGCTATCCTTAGAGCTGTTTCTTTCATTTAAACTATTCCTCATGCTTGAACATTCCAAATATTAAAAGTAATTTCTAGTAGGAAAAAAAAAAAAGAACCAAACTAGCTCTCTTTATTCTCTTACTATATATAAAATACTCAAAAAGCTGGTATCAGTTCTATAGTCTGAAATGTACTGTCTACAGTACAGCTCATACGAGACAGAAAATTGGTCATACATCAAATGCCTCTGCAAATCCTTGGATTTCATTTACATATATTCCGAAGAAGAAGGAATAGTAAACCTTTCCTGAACCCTTTATTTTTTTCCCCAGGTGGGACTATTCATGAGCCAAAGTTATTCACTACAGTTTGAACTATAAAACTTCATGGTTCAGTGTTTGGAGCCTGTTTCTGCCTCAGTGTTAGAAATTTTATCTGGATTTCAGATTTTATTAAATAGGGCTGAAAAAATCTCATAAAGAACTTACTTGAGGAGGCTTGTCTGGCTTTCAGAAAAAAAATGCTGAATAAAAACAAGCTTTCCTGCCTTGTCAATCCATTGAACAAAAAATCTCATCATGTGCAGCTGCTCTGTGCGATCACAAAGGAGCCAGGAAGCAGTTCAGCATCTCTCATAAGCACTGCCTTTGCCATTCAGTTTCTATACTGAGTCTTTCCCAAAGCTGACCATAATATTTTTAGAATAAAAACCTGCCTTTCCTCCTCTAATCTCTGCCAACAAAGATGATTTGAAAGGGGCTGATTTCCCAAGAAATTTGTATGCACATATACATGCAGACACACAAAGGCTGTTTCTAAAGAGACATTAGTTTTCAACAAGCTTCAAGGAGATAGTCAATGCAATATGCCTGTACAAAGGCTCGAAACTCAGAACTTTCCAGAAAGTTCCGGAAATTTTTATGACTGTGCAACGATGCCGCGTGCAAGAAGAAATACTGAATACCTATGCTCGCTCTGAGTTCCTCTCCTTTGTAGAATTTAGAGCACCTACGAGAACAGAAATGTAGGAAACCTATAGTAAGGACTGACTGGCAGAAAAAGAGTTCCACCTCTGAATCCACTAGCAAGCTGAGGGCCAGAAGTAGTCGTGTCTTGCTGCTCCATCAGATGAGATTGTGCCCAATATTACACCTCCAGCATCAGCCAGTGTGTGTGTTCACAACCTTACATGGGACAACAGGTCATTGCTTAGGATTGGCAAAGAGATATGTCTCTTTTAAGCTTGTGTATACCACAATTTTAATAATACATAATAAAAATGAAGGTTTGTGGAAGAGTAAAAGGAATGGTCACTCCTATTCTACAATTATTGCAACACAGTCAGACACACGGATGTTCATTCAATTATAGATTACCTCTGAAATTTTACTATTTTCTTTTCTGAGTTAACCATACAGCCTTGTTGCAAATATAGCGTTATGACAGGGCTTTTTGAAAAATTAGAAACTCCTCTTAATTGGTAGACCACCCATTTTCCTGAGGTGATTTAACAGAGCTCCTCCTTTCAGTAAAGGGGTAAGATACACAACCTATCTTTGTATTTCACCCTGACTGAATGGTTTTTGACCACAACTGAAATTGATCCAATATTATTCTTCTCACAGTTCAGATCCCTGGAGAATTAATTTTTCCTAACCAGCTGAAGCTTAACAAATTTGACATATCTAGCAAACAGCCACCCGCTGTGTAGCTGGAGAGAGCTTCAAATTAGAGTTTGCTCAGCCTAAGACCTTGAGGCAGTTGTATGTGATAACATCTTTAACTTACACATCCTGATTGTTCTATTAACTACAGCTTAACAACAATTTAAATTATGAAAGTAATACTTATGCAACACCTTCTGTCTGAAAACTTATGAACAGTCTAAATAAATAATAATAAGCAGCCTAAATTGGCCACGAGGGCACACTGCTGCCTCATGGTCAACTTGTCATCCACCATGACACCCAGGTCCCTCTCTGCAGAGCTGCTCTCCAGAAGGTCGGTCCCCAACCTGTACTGGTGTCTGGGGTTATTCCTCCCCAGGTGCAGGACCTTGCACTTGGCCTTGTTGAATTGCATGAGGTTTCTCACCACCCAGTTGCCCAGTTTCCATAGATATTGTGAAAATAGTCAACATACATAAGGCTAGTAAAGCAGTCTTGTTAATAACCACCGTTAGCTAAGGCTTTGATTTCATACTGTAATTTGAAGAAAAGGAGCATATATACAACATTCAGTCAACGAATGGAAAAAACAAAGATACCATTTCATGCAGTAACAGTAAAAATGCTCACGTAAGGACATAAGTCACAAAATTACTACCCAATTCCACGTAATTATTGATGTACCACATTTGGATGTTATAGCTAATAGTTTCTACATTAAATTGATAAACTTTTATGTCTAAAAAGATACGGATCTATCCCATTCCTCTGCCAGGAATAGATATGTATCTTTCGCCCCCGCCCCCCCCCCGCCCACCTTTTTTTTTTTTTTTATATTTTTTTTAAAAAAAAAAAAAAAAAAAAAGTTGCAAGTCTTGAGGCAATTTTCCTCACTAGGAGCTACTTGACATAACCTTTGCTATTAGGCATATTATTAAAAGCCATTATGCGACGATATATGCACTAGCTTTCTCTCCCATGTTATGCGCTTCTCGCTTGCTGTTTCTTCCAAGGATGTACAAGAAATATATATATATATATGTATATATATTTACTTTCAGTACTAGCACATGGCCATAATATAGTTAAAAAGAGACTTATGAAAAAGTTGAGTAGAATTCCATCAACATGAAGGACTCCTTTTAAGAACTTATCTATGTGAACTTGTTTCTTATCCTTTATTTCACTTTTCCCCACTTAGCTGTACAATTTTCTCTCATTTTTCTGACATCTTTTCACATAAATATCTTATGGGAAAACCTGTCAAGTGTTCTTAGAAAATTCAAGACACACTATCTGATTGCACCCTTGTTTTTCCAGGAGAATATTTACAAAAATACCAGCACAGCGTGTCATATATTAATCTGTGCTTTTAAATTGTATCTTGTTTTACCTACTGGCTAGTCCTAATTCTTTACTGCTACTTATTAATGTAAAATAATGTAAGTGAAAATCAAACACTTGGCTGTAAAAGACTCACACTCGCTATCAGGAATTATTCTCACCAATATATGCATATAAAGATTTGTCTCTCTCTTGGCATGATCAGACAATCCACTGCGTAATATCATCCCTAAGGAGCAGAATGAGGTGTTTTAACCCTAAGTAAGCAATACTGCTGCTATGCAGAAACTTTAAAGCCTTTTATTTTATCCTAAAATAATGACATAGCTGTCAACACAAAAGGAACAACAAGTATGGTCTTCTTACTGTGTCATGACATACTAGGCTTAGCAGGGTAGATCGCTCACTTCTGAGACATGAATACTCCAATAAAAGGTTTTGTACTTTTAATGGGAGGCATTTTTTCCTCTATTGCACAAAGAACAAACCAATGGCTCGCAAATGTTCTGAAGAGCTATATTTATAAACAAAATTTAAAATACCATTTGACATTTGATGGTTTTCTAGAATTGCCAAATTCTAGAATTTTAGCACACTGCAAATACTGTGCGTTGCTAATTCTGCTGATACCTAAATTATTATTTGGCTCCTGTTGTGTGATGTTGCTTTATTTTTAACCACAATCACTACAAATTCATTCGAAAGCTGTTCATATTTTGCTATTGGACGAAGAATTCTACATCTGGTCTGTTTTATAGTTAATAAAGCACATAATAATCCAGCAAAATTAAATAGTCTAGATAAAGAACAAATTTTGTGACTTCTATACTGTATACTGCCATATCTTTTTAACAGGATATAGTTTACGAATCCAGCAAATAACTAAAAACCCATTTACCTCAAAATATTTGCAGTAGCTTTCCTTTCTTGTGGTAGAAGGTCTGGATCTCTCAAAACTTCTTCCAGCAAATTTAACACATTCATTTTCAACTCATTGTTCAGGTCAAAATCCTACAAAGGAAAAGAATTTTGTTTCCTTGTGTTTTAAAAATGTTGATCAAGTAACTTAAAGGGTATGTTTCTGTGATTTTTTTCCCTTTCCTTTTTCTTTTCTATTAGGTACGAAAATGCTTAGAGAAATTGGAGATCTCTTACAGTGAACAGGACACAAAACAGGGAGCCTGAAAGACTACAAGTTATCACATTTTTCACCTTTATTTTCTGTGTGGAACCATGCGACTCACTTAATCCTTCTCTTTTGAAGTAAGAACAGTGTCTCACAAATATCCATAAAATACTTTATCTTCTCTCTGATCATTATGAAAACTCGAGAACAGTTGAGCTACGGTGTTGAGACTATTGCCTTGTGAGGTCAGCCACTCTTTTTTTCCCTTGTTTTTTTGAGTTTCTCAATGTATCCGTCTGCATCACTGATTTTTAATCTGAAACTTACCTTTTGGGACAGGTCTGCCTTTTGTTCCACCTAGTGGATTACTCAGCCAAATATGCTCAGTAAATCAGACCAGTGGTCTACAGCACCGTGTTAAAGCACTTCGGCACTTTAATTCATTCTAAGGCAGTTTGGTATCTTACACAGGACTGCAATCTAAGAACAGGAACACACACAGTCTCCGTTGATATCTGATACTAGAGAATTTCAAAGAATAGAGTGATGTATGAACATTAGGGTGTGAACTTATGGGTAAGTAATCGAGTAGACTCCAAAAATGTCCGTATTTAGCATAAAGGTAGAATTTGGATAAGAAAACGAAACCCAAAATCTTTACTCATTCACTGTATTTGTAGATCTTCCTATTTTATAATACACTGTTACTTGCAAACAACTCTGTTACCATATTTCTGTCAATCCACCACTTGTTTCCATGGGAACAGGAAGCACAAAGTTACAGAAATTGGGAAATGTTTGGCACCTTTGTGTAGGAGCTGTATATGCCATTTTCCAAAGAACCAGTTACAGCCCTTTCTGTTGCACTGGACTTTCAAGTGGCCATGATTTTAGGGAATATGCCTAAGCTTTCAGCCAACAGTATAATGAATATTGGAATTTTCTATTCTACAGCTCAATGGCGAACACAATGTAAGGGAAGCCAGATATGCAAAGGAACTTTAGTAGTTATGCTACAAAAATATCACCTCTAAACAGAAAAGTTATTCAAGAACTGACACATCTAACATCCTCATTTACTATGTTGGGTAAAGTTCTGATCTGTCACTGTAAATGGGCAGATCACAACAACAGGATCAGGATCTCATTTCCAAATAATTTTTTAAAACCATAATCAGTCAATTATTTTCTCTAAAAAGGATTTTTCCAAAAGAAGGGTTGGAGCTAAAATTACAGTAGCTATAAAAAGTCTAGTCTCTTTTTTTATTCCATTTATGAATCAGGATGGCAAAGTCTCATGTCTGAATATCAGATTCAACAAAAATCAGGCAGACTCCCAGTTTTTGCGTGTTTACAATCTCTCTCATATATAATATATGCTAAGAGCAAAATATATTGGCAGGCATCAGAGTCATCCCTGCAAGATAGCAGGCCCTGTAATTGCTGCTGAAGTTTCCCTTGTTTGGGTGGAAAACTGTCTGAACACCTAGTTCTTTGGATTAGGACTAGTTTTGCTTGAATTCCCTGGCTCTGGAGGACATTTCATAGTGGAAAAATATACTTTTCTAATCTCAGACAACCAGCAATCCCAGACCCTTTATCAGGACTCATCAGAGATGACACAGACTGATCAGGGGTTATAACTAAGGGATGTAATGGTTTGTATGAATGAAGAATCTGTAGGTAATACTTCCAACCTGGTATGACCCCAGCTTGAAGATGCGACCCCACAGCACAGCCCCCTCTATATAGGCAACTTCTGCACTTATTCTGCCCAACATCCCTTTTTTTATGCCCAGAAATTTTCTTTTTTTATAACAGTGTGTCAGTTTTTCCTTATAATCTGTAGGGAGGAAAAGGATGGGAAAAAAAAAAACAGTAGAATTCAAAAGAAAATGTGAGATCTATTTTTCTGTTGAAGTTAATGATCTGTGGGGTGTTGAGATGCCAGTGTGATGACCAATATATAAAGTATATGCATAAAAAGCCCAGCTAGATATAACTATGTGAAATGACCTATGTACAAAGGTGAACATAAAAATCACAACACAAAATTACCCTTAGAAATACCTAACTACCCTTTCTAAATATATTTTTATATCTATACATTATAATATATATGCCTGAAAACATATTATATTAAAAAATAAATATACGTTTTATATATTAAAAACAGTCCTGGATGATTCCTGTGACATTTTTATCTAGTATACCACCTTTTAATACATTTTACTGGTCTTTGGCCAAGACTTCAGTGGTTTCTTTAGAATCTGGATGTGTGTTCCCTTGCCAAGAAGGAACAGCAGATGATATGCAGGAGTATGAGAAGTGTCTCATGCATTGGTCAAAAAAAATCTATTCAAGTGAGTCAGAAAAAAGACGGAGAGGTGGATTTGGAATCACTGGCCCCAGGAAAATGAAGTGCCAAAAAAGACAGCAGGAAGCAAGGAAAAGAACAGTTAGCTGTGCTGATAGGGTGTATAGATTTACTACAGGTGTTTGTCATAGAAAATACTATACAGATCAGATAAATATTCAATAATTCCCAACTTTCAACATGGGCTCAATCACAAATTAATTTTCCTCTCTTCTTTCTTCAAACCTTCCTAAGCATAAACAGTGTTCTTTTAAACAATGTGAATAACACAAACAAAAAGAGTTAAATCTGAGAATCTGATAAATTTTTGGAAACATCTGGGTACATCAGTGGTAGAGACTAGAAAAAACACAGTGATAAAGGGAGGGAAGGGACTGAGATAGGAGAAAAAAATATATATGGAGAACTTGTAATGAAATTCTACAGAGAACCCTTTTGCTGCATTGCTTTATCCAACTTCAATATAACACTGCATGCTTTATGAAAAAATATTTTCACCTCAGATCAGCTCTCAAAAACAGAGCCAGCTTTCTAACTATTCCTCGGGCATCTGCCAATAGAGCGAAAGAGCCAACTGGTAGCCTGGCTTCAGAGTCCTGTGATCGCCACATGAACAGGAGAAGGGGTAGTACAATTTGTCAGGATAAATATAACACGACTCACTCATGACTGGCTTTGCTGAATACATAATTGTGTTATTAGTTTCTTTTTTCTTTTTTTTTATTCTGATTTTCTGTTATGTAACTTTATGCTCAGAGGAGATGCAAGAATGGAAAGTTCTTCCACAAGTTGTGAATGAATGACTCACAGGAAGGGGCCATCCACTGGAGCATCACATCCAAATCTCTTAAGGTGCCATGCTCATCCTAGGCTGAGGGACAGCTCTAATCAAGTGACCTAGAATGCCTTCCAAGCTGGAAGCTTTTTTTCCAGGCAGGGAAGAAAGCAAGCTGACTGTTTTCCAATTCAGTTGCTTTGGAAGATTCCCAACTTTGGCACACAGAGCCCATTGTATTTCAACAGACACTCACAAATGCCATTGGTAATATCACTATAAGCAACAAGATTCGATGAACTGAAATCTCTTCCTAGCCATCTCTCTCCATCCTGTGAATAACTACACAGTGAGCATTTTTTACTTCATAAGCTACAAACAAGTGAAACTGAAGACAAATCTGTTGGATAGAAAGAGGGAGAGGTAAAAGGATAGAAAACAGAACCATGTGGAAAGAATAGAAGTGGTGACAGTTCTGAAACGGAAGGTGAAGTAACCAGAAATACAGCAAGTAGGAAGGAATGCTAGGCAAAGACAGAGCTCAGTGGGATGTTCACAAACAGGGATTGAGACAGGAAAGTTTTAAAGTTTGCCACCTGGGAGAGAAAATGCTGAGAGAGAGATGAATGAAGAGTTCTTAATTAGTAAAAGAGAAAGAAAAATCTAATGAAAGTTTTAAATATCAGATACGAAAGGGAGAGAAAACTGCAAGCAAAGCTAGAGTCAGCCTTTGGTTGTCTCTCTGAGTACACAGATGAAGTAGAGATATGGGAGTGTAGACCCATTTTCCTTTGCCCCCAGCTGCAGAAGCAATCTGGAAATAGCAGATGGCCAGAGACACTAAGAAAGACCAGGATTGCTACTGGCAATTCTAGCCATTACTCTAGCATTACCCTAGAGTGAAGGGCTAAAGATAAAGCCCTTCTGAAAGCCCACAATATGAGATATCCAGGAGGGCAGAGAGATTACTGAATGATTGTTTCCAAGGAAGTTGGTACATTTTAAAATAGATGGCCTACAATTTATATTTATATATATATTTATACACACACGTATATATATATACACATATATATATATATATGTATATCTCTACTCGCATGTCATAGTGTAAATCCATAGTCATTTCAATGAAAGTAGGGAAATAATTCGGTCTTTCACACAGCAGATCACACTTGGCCACTGTTAACTGGAACTACTCCAGTGATGTAGTCCTCTATGATAATACTTTATTTTCTAGCATAAAAGCACACTTTGACTATCATATATGTTTGTTCTGAGGGAAATTTGGATAAATTCAGCTGCACCAAGATATTTGCATGCTTGAAAAAGAAACAAAAGGCTTACTTCAAAAAAAAAAAAAAAAAAAAAAGCAAAAAAAAATTCTTCATTCAGTTTCAAGCGTGAAGAAAGAATCATCATTTGGGGAGAGTACCAGTCCTGCTCCTAAAGCATCCGTTTTATCCTGTCATTCCTGATAGAATACAGTTAACTTAAAAGTACAGGCTATATTAATAACATGCCTGAATAATTCTCATCCCACACCTTACAAACCCTCTTTTTATTATGCAGGCACTATATAACCTGGTAGTAATTAGAAACCTTGAAAGAAGAATGTAGCCACTAGCTATTGTCAGATTACAGTTTTCAGCGCAGAGAAGAAACGTGACATCTCTGGCCCTAAGTTCTAGGACTTTATATGTTGAAGAGCTCTGCCGAAAGAGCTCCCTGAA